GTAGGGAAAACTGATGAGAATGAAGTCATTTCTGTCAGTGTGGCCTTTTTTGAGCTTCTCTTGAATCCACTCTATTTTTGTAAAAGTCCATATATTTCTGATTTCATAATGAGTGCTTCTGATTCTTTATTCAAGGAAGATTCTTCCTAGGACAGGCATTATACATGTTGCATCCTTTTTATTGCTTAAACTAACCAAACACGCATTACAGTTTTTATGATGATGGTTAATGGTATAAAAATCTTACTTGGTTCTGAGAGAAGAAAAAGGGGCTGAACTCAACGTCCTTGTGGCTTAGAAAAGTGAGGCTCCAAAATAATAGGTGCTACATGATATTCTTCAAGATTAGTCTTGATAGCAGCAGACTCCTGCACTGTCACGGTAGAAAGCAAGGACAGGAAGTGCTCGTAAAATAACACTTGTTATGTCTCATGTGGTTGAATTGTTCAGTTCAATCAAGAGCAAGCATAGACCCTGAGATAAACTAGTGATTCATGGCAGGAATTTACTGTGAGCTGTTGAAAAATGCTTGGATTAAAAGAAAATGTTGCTATTAGATTCCTTGAAATTTGTAGTAACTGAAGTTCAGTGTCAAACTGGGTGTCACTTAGGGGTGTTGTCATCATTTGTTTGCAGAGAATATCTCCTTCCAGTTGGATAATAAACCAAAATGTTTGCTGTACATGTCTGTTTAAATGTGGGATACCCCAAAATTTTTAATAAATGGTAGCTTAGCAATTAGTTAGCGGATCTTTCTAATGGATCCTTGAGTGTTACAGTGTTCTTGACAAAAAACAGTGCTCAGTTTCTTGTTTGAACGAGGTAGCACTGTGCGTTATTCAGAGAGCTAGTGACATGTGGTCTTTACATATACATGCAAAGATTTAAATTACACTAGCATAGAAAGGATGAAGAAATATAACTTTCTCAAGAATCTGATATGATAATGCTGTATATATGTTTTTTTCTTTCCTGGATCTGCAATATAGGTTCAATGCTAGATATAATAAAGTATATTGTCAACAGAGGAGAACACAAAAATGGTGTCCTTGAAGAACCCATAATTGCAACAATTCTTAAAGAAGTTTTGGAGGGCTTAGACTATCTACACAGGAATGGGCAAATTCACAGGTAGGAGCACATACACAGTGAAAAGCATTTTCAAAGTTGTGTGTATAGTTTGTTGATACTTGTCAGCTGCAGTTGCTTGGCCAAGCAAATTGTATTGCTTCTTTCACATACTGTAAATGTGCTTAGTAATTATCAAATGATAATGCTCGGGCAGATGCTATAATCTTGACTGCAGTTTGTCACTAATATTTAGTACTTGCCTGGTTTTTATCCCATCTGTCTCTCTTATAGTTGGGATAGGTCTGTGCTGTGCTAAGTATGCCAGAATGTGGTCTGTACTCCTGTGCCTGGTGGTACTCCACGTATTTAATCTGAATCTAGTTTATGTGATATGGTCTGTGACTTGGTTATTGTGTTGCACAGTAAACCTGTAATTTTGGGCACTCGGGCACTGCTGTAGAAATGTGAAATTTATTTTTTCCTGGTGATCAGTAATGTCTATAGCAACTCTGCAGGTGTCTCTTCATGACCTTACATGAAGCTGGGATTGGTACTGTGGAACTGCATCTTGGTGTATATGCATCTAGTGATTGTTCTCTTCTTTATATTCTCTCTCCATTGACTTCCTCAGTGTAAATTGTGCAGATCCCCCCGGGGTGATCTATACATACCTGCTGTCGCAATCCACAAGTTGCTTCCAGTGTTCGTATGTTGGAAGTGCTGGACTCTGATCTCCCCAATTAATTTTACTGAAGTGAATTTGCCTTTTAAGGAAGATGCTTACAACAGGCTCTCTGTTTCAAGCATTAGCCTTTTGTAAGTGAATCTTTTAAACAAAAAATGGATTCATTGCAGACAGAACTCTGAGAATGGAGGTAGTGCAGATGTAGCACAGTAATGTTCTTTATGTGTACTTCTTATATCTCATCTCATAATGAACTGCCTCTGATGTAAATCAAGAACTATTTCCTCCTTTTGCAGAGAGAAAATTGAGATAAATGGAGAAATAAAGAACAATTATCTTGACTTCTGGTCTTGAATGCCAAAGATCTGCCTAAAACCTTAATTCATAGTCATCTGTTAAACTGATATTGTTGTGGAAGGAACATTCATTAACTTTTAAGGATAACAGGACCCTTTGAGGTCGGATTTGGGAATTCCCTTTGTCTATTCTTAAAGGACCTTAAAAAAGATAAAAAAGAGAGATCTATTACATCTGAGACATCTGTTACATCTGAAATGTCTTCTTTTTTATAACATTTAATTGGTAAACTGTGCAATACCACAGAAGTCCTGTTCAAGATGATACAGTGTGTGTTCCTTTTCCCATGTATGTTGTAGGTGAAAGCTGTGTAGTTCAGGAAACGCTGTATCAGGTGTTACCTGCCAGTTGCAGATATTTCCAAAATTGTTCTGGGATTTTGTTCTGTTGTTTTGATTCGTTCTTGTTTATATATAAGGAAACAGGTTTATGTTACCTTTCAGTAGCAATGTGTTAATTATTTTCAGTAAATCTTGGAATGAGTGATTTGCTGAAATTCTTAACGTTTATGATATATTCTGTATGAAGGATTTACCCTGTGCATTAAGAAAGGGATGCACGTTTCTATCAAAAAAAACCCAAAACAACAAAACCAGCCAGAAAGGTTTCTTCTTAACATTATGTGTGAATAGTGTGTTTAATGGATATAGCTGACTGTCAAGCACAAGCTGAATTTTTGACAGATTCAGTGTCAAATAACTTTTCATCTTGGTACCCTATAGCAAACTATGGTTGCTATTCCTGAGCTTTAATAGCTTAATTGGGTAGAAATCTACAGTATATTTACCTTTTTTTGAAGATGAGTCTCTTCTCTGATGAGATCAAAGAGGAGAACTTTCTTCAGCTTTTCTTTTTCATTAGTGGTGCAGCTGAATGTGAGAAAGTATTAATTCTCGCTTTAAAGCTATGAAAGCTCTCAGTTTCTGAGATTATATTTATAAAAGGGGGGGAAACAGACTTGGCACCTAAATATTTCTGTTCTCAAAATCTATCCCTGAATTCTGCTCATTTTATGCCAAAGCTGAATTTGAGCCCTTTTATAAGAGAGAGAGAGTTTGTGAGAGTTTGAGTTCTGCACTCTGTTTTATTGTAAATCAGTTACATTTTATACTTTGGTTCCTGTTTCTGTCTTTAAATTTTAAAATACTGTCTTGTGAAACTAATCAGTATGCAATATTTATTTATTTATTTACATAAAATGTGCACATATGTACTTTCATACATAAAAGTAACCTCTCTATATACATTCTAGAGATTTGAAGGCTGGCAACATTCTTCTGGGTGAAGATGGCTCTGTACAAATAGCAGGTAATGGAGGTGGTAGAGTAATGGGTAAATAAAGTAAAAAGGTAATTGCAGCTGGATTAGGGACAACAAATACAAGTTTTCTGTTGGCTTTTAACTATTCCTTTTGGAGTGCTGTAGCTGCAAGTTATCCAGTTTCAGATTTCAGAATTCTTGGTTAATGATACATGATTTAGGAATTATTCAATATATAAGGAAACATTTTAACGTCCTCTTAATGTTTCTGTATATATTTGATGGGACGGAGAAAAATATTGATTAAACAGCTTGTGAATGGTAGAAACTCATATTTCTGTTCAAGTTTATTTTAATTTATTTCTGTAAGCGATTATACTGGTTGTTGGGGATTCAAAAATCTGTATGTAGCATCCTTCATGAGGACCTGGGGTATAACTTAACTAGTCACGGAGATGCATGAGATACATCTCACTGAGAATTTTTGGCATTTCTACCATTTGGCTTGCAATGGTGCAAGTTGGATATAGTTTAGCATCTTAAATACCCTCTGAATGTATCTATATGTTTCTTGAGTGGTAGTCTGTAAGAATCAAATTATTTGGTCTTTGTAAGAGCTTAAGTACTGAGCAAGACCCCATATCCCATCTCTCAAGTTAGTATCAAATATCTGGAAAATAGAGCGAACCTGCCTCCTCTCCCAGCATACTCCCAGGCCTTTCACAGTTTATAGCTTGTGACCCAGTGATGAAAGCTTTGTGTTTAGTAGCCCTCGGTAATAAAAATGGCTATAACCAAAAGTTCTCTTTTGTACAAATAACACTATCAAAGAACTGTGTAAATGTATATTTTGAAGGCTTTAATATCTTGGTGTCTGAAGTCTATGAAACTGGACGGGAAGAGATTGGCTAGCAGATTTACTGGCATTCACTAATTGGAGTAGTTTTAAGTCTTCTGTTTTGAGTCCAGCACTACTTGAGTAGGTAGTAAATTTTACAGACTTGAATTTTAAGAAGATACTTAATATTTATTTATTCACTTGATTATACTCTACAGTTGTCTTCACTTTCTATAGCACTTTAGGCAACTGCTGAGATTCTAGGTCTGTGGTGTTTAAGGTTTTTTTTAAGATCTTCACATATTGTAAAAGAGTAGATGTCCAGACAACCAACTTAATTAAAAATAATAATAATAACTTAAAAGTTGAAAGATAAAAATCTCATGACCCATCGGAAATAAAGCTGTTGACTTTAGATTATTACTTTCACACATAATCAAATCTACTCTCCCAGTAATCAGACAACATTCAAACAACAGCTTCATTTAGCCCTTTCTAGTTCAACTCCAGGGCTTGGTTTCTTGACCTCTTCCTCCTTTTAGCTGTAGGCTTCTTAATGAGTAAGGCTTTAATTGTGCTGCTAGGGCATTCAGTGCATGTGGGACTGAGGACGTTCAGTGGCTGGATAGATACATGGAATGTGTCTTTCTGTGATGCTTTATTTCAGTAGCAGGTTATTTCCGATCTTCAGGTGAAAAGTGCAGCAGTGTCAGACTTGTTTCTTTGTTGGTGTGGAGCTGTTCTGTTTGGGACAGCCGAGGATTGCACGTTAACTGAAAGCCAATTTTGAATGTCAAAGAGCATGAAATTCATCCTTTTTACATCTTTTTGCCTTGACAAAGTAAACATCTCCTTTCATCTTTGGAGAACAGATAACTGATAATTTTGCCTCTTTTTAATTGCTGGAAGAACTTAGATTCTCTTGACTGCTCATTCATCTGCATACCAAGCTTCCTTCTATGCTGAAAAGATGTATCCATAACACGTACTGCTAATACATATGAGGAGTAATATTTGAAGACACAGTTGTCCATTGGCATTTCTGGGGCTATGGCTCACATAAGCTCAGCCCAGTGTTTGTTTCTCTGACAAAAGATTTTGTGCATTTATAGATGAGCATGCATTCTTCAAAGAATTGGGATAGCTTTACAGGGACCTCTGATTATGGACCTCAGAGGTTCCGCACAGAGAACCTGCTCAGTCTTTGGTGGGAAAGAGCAAAATGCACATTTTTTAATTTTTTATTTTAAACTGGGGATATTTTTTTTTAAAGTAAAAAATTTCTCCATACAGGGCAAGAAACTTTTGACTTATTCACACATACATTGCTAGAAAGTCACTGCAGTTCCTCAGCTTCAATATTCTACTTAAAACTATTGAGGCTGTAACATCTGGTGCTTTGGGCAAACAAGATGATTGGTACTTCAGGCTTAGAAGGCTGAAACCCTGATGAATTGCCTGGCAAAGGTCAAAATATCAAAGAAATCAGTAAAGGAGCACATAGCACAGAGCAGTCATACACAGAGATTGGTGGTAGTGTAGAAGGTATGGGTTGTATGATGCGTTTAATCCATACAAGAAATGACAGTTTCAATAAAACTCCTCACAAAAAGAATGTGCACTTTGAGGAGGCTAGGCAGATGATCCTGCTTTTCAGTTTTGTGCGTAGGTGGCTATGTGAACTTACCCATTGCCGCAGTGGTTCTCAGGGTGTTCACTCCTGTGGTAATCCATACCCACAGAAACATTTGGAAAAGATCTGGTTAAAAATAGGCAGAGCCTATGTCTCAGATACTTAAGCCAGATGGAAGAGAAAGATTTATCTGGGACAGCTCTTGGCAGCCCAAGCTTTCCTTGCCCAGCCCCATTCTCACAGGAGCTTGATGCTTTCCTTCTCTCCCAATCTTAACCATAACTCTTTATGTGGCCTTGGCTGAGCCTTAGACTGAAGTCTGCTGCCACTGTCAAGGTGAGAAAGTTAGAATCATATAACAGTTTAGGTTAGAAGGGACCCTGAAGGCCATTTAATTCCAATGCCCCTGCCGTAGGCAGTGACACTTCCTACTAGACCAGGTTGCTTAAAGCCCCATCCGGCCAGGCCTTAAACACCTCCAGGGATGGAGCTTCCACAACTTCTCTGAGAAAGCTGTTCCAGTGCCTCACCACCCTCATAGTGAGAAATTTCTTCTTAATATCTAATCTAAATCTACCCTCTTCCAGGTTAAAGCCATTCCCCTTCGTCCTATCACTGCATGCCCTTGTAAAAAGTCCCTCCCCAGCTCTCCTGTAGGCCCCCTTCAGATACTGGAAGGCACTGTAACATCTCCCTGGAGCCTTCTCTTCTCTAGGCTGAACAACCCCAACTCTCTCAGCCTGTCTTCATAGCAAAGGTGTTCCATCCCTCTGATCATCTTGGTGGCCCTCCTCTGGACCCGCTCCAACAGGTTCATGTCTTTCCCATGTCGGGGGCTCCAGAGCTGGACACAGTACTCCAGGTGGGGTCTCACAAGAGCAGAGTAGAGAGGCAGAATCACCTCACTTGACCTGCTGGCCACACTTCTTCTGATGCAGTCCAGGATGCGGTTGGCTTTCTGGGTTGCGATCGTGCATTACTGGCTCATGTTGAGCTTCTGGTCAGTCAGCAGCCCCAGGTCATTCTCCTTAGGACTGCTCTCGATCCATTCTCCCCCAAGCCTGCATTTGTGCTTGGGATTGCCCCGACCCAGATGTAGAACCTTGCACTTGGCCTTGTTGAACTTCATGAGGTTGGCATGGGCCCACTTCTCAAGCCTGTCCAGGTCCCTCTGGATGGCATCCTCCAGTGTGTCTATCTCGCCACACAGCTTGGTATCATCAGCAAACTTGTCAAGGGGGGCACTCGATCCGACTGTCTATATCACCAACAAAGATGTTGAACAGCAGCGGTCCCAGTGCCGACCCCTGAGGAACATCACTTGTAACTGGTCTCCACTTGGACATCGAGCCATTGACGACAACTCTTTGAGTGCAACCATCCAGCTGGTTCCTTATCCACTGAGTGGTCCATTTGTCAAGCCCATGTCTCTCCAATTTAGAGACCAGGATATCATGCTTTGCACAAGTCCAGGTAGATGACATCAGTTGCACTTCCCTTTTCCACTACCCCTGTAACCTCCTCAGGCGGCCACCAAATTTGTCAGGCATGACTTGCGCTTGGTGAAGCCGTGTTGGCTGCTACCAATCACCTCCTCTTCCATGTACCTTAGCTGAGTTTCCAGGAGGATCTACTCCATGATCTTGCCAGGCACAAAGGTGATACTGACTGGCCTGTAATTCCCTGGGTCTTCCTTTTTTCCCTTTTTGAGAATAGGGTTATGTTTCTCCTTTTCCAGTTGGCAGGAATCTTGCCAGACCGCCACGACTTCTCAAATGTTGGATAGTGGCTTGGCAACTTTGCCAGTTCCCTCAGGACCCATGGATGTATCTCATCGGGTCCTATGGACTTGTGCACCTTCAGATTCCTCAGATGGTCTCATACTTGATCTTCGCCTACAGTTGTTTTTTCTTTGGTTTTAGCTGTGACTTTTAGCGCCTGACACTGTTGAATTGTACAGCTCTTTCGTTGTAATACATTTCCCTTCCCTCTTTATGTAACTTGTTTTCAAGAGTAGTTTGTCTCCTATGTGATAGGAAGCTTGTCACTGTAGGTCATGTCTTTTTTAAAATAACCTGTATTTGTGAAAGCTGTGTGGGAAATGTAAGTCTTGTTTTTATTGAGTAGCTATCAAAGCCTTCTTTCTCTCTGTAAACATACAACAGTGTTTGACTAGTATTATAGTGAAATGTTCACTTGACTTAATTAAATCCTCATTACATCTTTCTCAGTGAGGTGTTGAAATAGTTCATTTTGACGCTTATGCAAGAACAGATTTTACTTGGATTTTGGATTGTGTTCTGCTGGTGTTTTTTTTTTTCATTGTCCTCCCTCACCCATTTAGATTTCTTGTTTGTTGTTTTCAAAATTAATGTTATGTTAATAGGAAAAACAGCAGTAGGGGAGCAAAGGTTAAGTCAGGATTTTAGCTGTGTATCTTGGTTCCTGAAAGGACCTGTAAACAATTGTCCAATGCAAACTATTTATCTTTGGTACTAAAAGGACATCATTTTTTTTTTCATTTCTCTCCTTTATTTATGCCTATATTAATTTATTTTTTATTTCTGCCTATTCAGCTTTTCCTTATGTGTAATAGTACTTCTTCAAAAAACTGTCACTAATACCAGCATTGATTTTTAGGGCATTAAAAACTTAGAAGCGGGTGTTTCTGAGGCTGTTCATGCTTTTCAGAAATACAAACAAAACCTGTCTATTTTATAACTTACAGAATTTGGGGGGGAAAATGTTTTTTTATTTATTCAGGGAAATTATTATTTTATGCAGGGAAAATTAAAGAATATTGCTCAAAGCTTGCTTCTTACTTGTCTACTGTATTTCTCTGTGTTTTAGCAATGTAGAAGAGGTCCAGAATTTGAGTCTGTGGTGCTTAATGGTTGTTTAGTGGAAAGTAATGATAAAACTATGTTTTATGTAATTACTGCATTTTTAATTTTTTTTTCTAACCTTAGCATCAGGGAACAATAGGAAAATAAAAATCAAAGTAGGTCTATAGTAGACTACTTGATTTCAGTATAACTGGATTCTAAAAAGCACAGTGTAAAATACTCTTCATAAAGCTCCATTCAAAATGACAGTATTTCTCCATACATGGGTAATCTGCTTTTCTTTCTTCCATTTATCCCCTACCTCTCCCATACAGCTGTCACTGATGTAGTGACAGGTTAAAAGAACATGAAGGTTTTTTGCTATTTTGGAATTTGGAGAAAACTATTCATGTCATGGTCCACTACTAAATATATATTGTTGATTGCTTCGCTGATTATCTTTGTCAAATCTTCATAGGTATTTGATTTGTATATAGTATCCCCTCTTGTTCAGATTGCATTCAGATTTATTAGCTCCTTGTCTTTGAATAATGGCAGGTGTAAACCTTTCGAACCTTGGCTCAAAGAGCACATTTGAAAACCTTAAGTGACAGATGTACTGGAGTCCTTTGTAGCCATATTCAGAAAGACACATACTAGGAGGTTAAACTTGAGGGAGTCCTAGTGCAGCTCTCCCAGATAAAACTGTACCACCTATTCTGTAGCATTTCAAGAACAGTGCGTTATGAAACAAAGGTAAGCTCCGCAATGGAGAGTAGACCTTCATGAGCTGACTTAATTTCAAACGTGTAAAACTTTTGCTTTGTTATTGGTAGTTTAACAGATTTCGACTTTTTTTCCCCTTGCCAGATTTTGGCGTTAGTGCATTTTTAGCAACGGGAGGTGATGTTACTCGTAACAAAGTAAGGAAAACGTTTGTTGGTACTCCATGCTGGATGGCCCCTGAAGTAATGGAGCAGGTAATCCTAATGTTAAAATATATATATATATAGAGAGAGATAGATATATTTATTTAGTCTTTAATTTTTGGAAATTGAGACATCACCACCTTGTTTTTTCCCTTCTGGTTCTATTCCAGGTGCGAGGTTATGACTTCAAGGCTGATATGTGGAGTTTTGGAATAACAGCCATTGAGTTAGCAACAGGAGCAGCACCTTATCATAAATACCCTCCTATGAAAGTAACAATCACTTTGTATTACCTAATGCTGATAGCTGTATTATTAATGCTGCTAGATAGTTAACACTACTTCATTTTCAATAGCAACTCAAAATATCTAAATATATGTATTCTGTGGAATATTTATTCTCTTTTAATTTCTATATGTTTTGAATTCATTTTGTTTACACTACCTCTTTTTTGGGATTACTGTAGGTGTTAATGCTGACGCTTCAGAATGACCCTCCTACTTTAGAGACAGGTGTAGAAGACAAGGAGATGATGAAAAAGTATGGCAAATCCTTTAGAAAACTAATTTCCTTATGCCTTCAGAAAGATCCTTCCAAAAGGTAGGTCATTATTGCCATGTACAGTGGAATTATTTGTTTTAAGTGTACAGACTACTTACATTTCCAGTGTTTAAATATCATCTTTAAGTGTATGGTTTGAATTTTGTAAATAGCAGCCTTCAGTCATCTTCATCTGGGGAGAAGAAATTGCGTCTTAATTGTCGCTTATGTTTTCTTCTTCTGGGTTGCTAACCTAATTTATTTATACTTAAATATACTGTTGAATTAAACTCTTATCAAACAAAAGTCCTTGCTCTACACCTTAATTTGTCATCTGAGCCAAGATACGAATCTGTATATTGTACATAAGTCTAACAAACAAGACTGTTCAGATTGATCAGACAGAACTGTTGGGAACAAAACATATCAGTCTCTTAGCCTTCAAAAGAAATTAAAAATAAATAAATAATTTTATGTTGATTTTTCTCATTTTGTGACATAAGGTTAGTATTGCCTTAACTTGGATATTTCCAGAGAAAATTACTTATTAAGAGGTATTTATTTTTTAACTGTATAGTTAGGGGTACCAAGGTTGTTCAGAGTTTTCCTCATGTTTATATTGGCAATTGTATATCACAGTATCTTTGTGATTTGTTCTTTCTTGCTATGTTTTGTGAATGGGGTAGCCAAGATGATGAAAATATCTATTCCAAAACCATTGCTGAGGTCCCAGGTTCCCTGAACGATTAATTTATTTATCCTTTATTCATTTTTATGCAGACCCATTTTTGTAGGTTTCGTTTGCTGAAGAGTTGGAGGAGGCACGTTCTAATTAACATTATTTCCTAAGGGTATTTAATACATCACTTTTTGAAGAGTTTTAGAGCTGGTATTTCTGGAGAAAAAGATTGTTTCGAGAGAGCAATCCTTATTGAGTATTGTGTGGGTCTTTTATTGTGTGTACTTCACTGATGTTACGCTAGCTTAAGTCCAGGATATTGTTGTAGGGAGTCAAGTTGAAAAGGTGAGAGCAGCAATACTGGAGAGTAAGTATAATTAAGAGAAAAGATTATGTGGCAACATCTTTATTCTTGAAATCCTTCGAATTCTGTTTTTCACTGAAGGGTCATTTGTGTACTGTTTTCAGTTTCCAAACCCCCTTATCATTGGTAGTCTTAGTAGCAAGTCCTGATGCTTTATGTTTAGCACTGCAGTTTCACAGAATCACGGAATGGTTAGGGTTGGAAGGGACCTCTGGAGATCATCTAGTCCAGCCCCCCCGCCAGAGCAGGGTCGCCTACAGCAGGTTGCACAGGACAGCGTCCGGGCGGGTTTTGAATGTCTCCAGAGTGGGAGACTCCACCACCTCTCTGGGCAGCCTGTTCCAGTGCTCCACTACCCTCAAGGTAAAGAAGTTCCTCCTCATGTTAAGATGGAACTTCCTATGTTCTAGCTTGTGCCCATTACCCCTCGTCCTATCACTGGGCGCCACTGAAAAAAGACTACTCCCATCCCCCTGGCATCCTCCCTTTAAGTATTTGTAAGTATTAATAAGATCCCCCCTCAATCTTCTTTTCTCTAGACTAAAGAGACCCAAGTCCCTCAGCCTTTCCTCATATGAGAGATGAGCCTTTCATCATATGAGTTTGACTGCTTACAGATCAGAATGAAATGTGTTCTGGATAACGAAGCTTCTTTTAGTTTCCTGTGTCCAGCAATTTTCAGGACAAGGTTAAATTTGTATGAAAACATGAAAAGTAAATAATTAAAATGGTTTTCCTTCTCTCCTTGAATACAGAATGCTGAGTTACCTGATCTGTAGTTACAACATCGGTGTTGAAACACTAGTGTTTAAGCTAATCACACTATTTATTACACTGATATTTAAACACGTGCAATATCTTCATACTTGGGATTGCCTTGAATTGAACAATTAGACCATCAGATAGGTGATTAGATCTGTGTGCCAGTTACTGTAACCAAGGAGCAAGTGTCCTTATATTGTGGGGTCATCGCTATTTTTTGTTTCTCCCAAGCCAGGATTTAATTTTGCAGAGAGATACCTCCACAGTCGTCGTCAGTTGTGGGAGAAGTGCCTGCTCTTTGTGGCAAATTCTAGGACTGACATTGCACTGTTGTTGTCTCAGACCATGATGTTTTTCTTTTGGGCATCTGTGTGTGAGTGTTTCTCTCCCCACTTCCAAGGATGCTACTTACAGTCCTCTGCACTGCCATGGCCTGTGTGGAAAACAGGCCTAGAAAGCACGTCCAGACCAGTGTGTCAGAAGTGTCTGGCATAATTAATAGTAGAGGAATGGAGAACACTAGTTTGCATAAAAATTTACTAAGAATCTCGCTTTTAACTGTGCATATCCCTGTTATGAGATGTGATGCTACTGGATCACTGATACTTGTCTTAAGAGTCAATTTGAAATAGAACTTTTTAACTTTGATGCAGAAACTGATGTTTTTGTAGTTTTTTGTTTTAAAATGTCCCCCTCTTTGCTTATCCAAGATTTATGTCTGAATTACTGCTAATCTTGGTGTTCTCCACATACAACTAAGAACTCCTTTATTGTAGAGTTTGGTCCTTTGGAGGGGAAGAAAAATAAGTGCTCTATGGAACTACTGTCTGTGTCTAAGTTGGATGCTTTTTGTTGATGTCAGGAATTGTTTCATTATTTCTAGTGGGAGTGAATTGATATATACATACACACTGCTTACTACTCTACTTTCTCTTCAGATGTGTCCTCAGAGAAATAAACTAGTTCAGATTCAGGGGTTTTTTTGGGGACTGAAATTTTCCAAATTGAAGCTTTCCACTATCTTATCTAGTTTGGGCTATATCCAATCAATCACTTGCTTTAATTCAAATGGAAAACTATATCAGATATTGCTTATGTTCATTTAGAAATTATGATTCTCAGAGATTTCAGCTTCCCTAAATTTAGCTGTGTCAGAATTAGTCTTGCATAGTGGTATGGGCTAATGGAAAGGATGAAATGAATCTGGAGGATTTTATTTCATCCCCAGAGATGCTTCACTTTCTCTCCAGAGTCTGCTACAGTACCAGAGTCTGGCTTTGGCTAGATAGGCTTTTTAGATCCCTGAAGCCAGGGGAGACAAATCCTGCTGTTGGAATCACTTCTGTAGCTGTGAGATTCTGATTATCTGTTGAAAACATCAGAAATATAAACTTGACGATGATGAGAAGAAAGAAACTTGAACAGAACTGCAAGTAGAAGTGAATGTCTAAATTTTGATCACGCAACTGTTCCTTTGATTTTTATTTGTCCATTTCATTGGAAGATGCTCCTGATAACTCTCTTTTCGTTTTACGCATTGTGTTAATAGTGTCAGTATAGTTTCTTGTGAATACCTGCTGACATCAGTGAAGTTAAAGAATGCCGGTAGCAGGTATTGATCCTACTGTTTAGAAAATCTAATTATTCTTTTATTGCTGTGGAGCAAAGTTCAGTTGCATTTGTAGAGTTACTTGGGGAAGAACATGATACCAGACTTTTTTTTTTGTTTGTTTGATGGAAGGGTAAAATGTAAAATGCATTTGTGTTGAAAGACAGAGGGGGAAAATTGGCAACTTAGAGACTGATTTCTTTTTTTTTTTTTTTTTTGGTATTTTTGCCATAGGGAGGCTTAATTTTTTCATGTGTGGTAAGTGAGTATGTGTGAATTAATTCAGTAGCTATTGTCATTCATTCCCCATTCATACAGTACTAATTCAAAAGTATTAGAGACGTACCATTTAACTAACGTCTTGTACTGTATTCACTGAGAGGGGTCTTTGTTTTCTGTTCTAATTTATTATTGATCTTTCAGGCCCACAGCAGCAGAACTTTTAAAATGCAAATTTTTCCAGAAAGCCAAGGTAAAACGTTTAACCCTACAAGTAAATTTTGCTCTGCCTTAAAATCTACATGAAATTTCTTCTTTCCTTGTATTGATTTTTAACTTACAAAATGTTGGTTTTGCAGAATAGAGAATACCTGATTGAAAAACTTCTCATTAGAACGCCTAACATAGCACAAAGAGCAAAAAAGGTGAGTGCATTCGCATCTTTTTCTTGACTGGTATGCAAGAGAAAGCGTGGACTGTTCAGTTACCTTACATTTTAGCTGACTGAGTGAGCCATTCTCTTATGCAGTCCTTCAAAGACAGTGACTGAGGAATGACTGGTTTCTGCATCCTAGCTTTCTCCAGGAAGCCCTGGGGCATTTTTTCCCACTCCCTTTTAGAAAGCTACAGGTGAAATGGTTGTACAGATAAAGTGATCTGTGAGCATATAGGTGCATACACCACAGAATTCATATCTTGGTGGATCACCTAGAGAAACAGTAAAGAGACTATAAATGGTATTTATTGAGGACTACCTGGTTCTTTGGATTATTTCAAATGTGATGCCCAAATATATGGAAGTTGGGTCCAAACTCTGCAAGAGTGCTGCTGAGTTATTCAGACCAGTGAAGCCTTATCCCACAGGTGATGAAGTTATACCCACAGCTATGGCATATGCTGATATTTCTGTGGTGCCTTTGTCACTTATGTGAATGAACTTACCAGGTGATGTGCAGCAGAACTGAGAAAAAAATAATTCTCAACAGGTAAGTATTTTAAAACTGAAGTATGAAGCAAGCTACTGTTCCTAAGAACTACTAAGCAGAAACCAATGTAGACTCCTGCTTGTTGTGTGTGAGAAATTATGGAACTCCCTTGTTGTTGTGACTTAATTCACCATGTCTCTTCAGTATGAGGAACCTGCTCAGAGATTGCTGAGCCTCTGCAGGTGACAGGGTAGTGTGCTGAGACCAACTTTCTAAAAGCAGGCTTTCTGGGGTGATGTTTCGAGGAGGGTGGTTAGGAAGGGAACTGTTTCAGCCTTTGTTGGCATATCAATTAGGTATCAGTTACCTGGACTGGCACTTGTAAGATTTTCTGTTGTCTTTGTGAATATCAGTTTGGCATAATTCTACAAGACTGAAATGTTCCTACAGCTGGTGGCTCGCTTGGAAGAGACTGTCAGCAAGATCTGAATGCCTTAAGTTCCTTTTAATCTTTTAGGTGGAAGTAATTTGGGAGATCAGTGGCAATCATGGGGCTTTGTGAGAGGCTGGAGTAGAAAACTGGAATGAGAGGACTTGTAGAAGGGCTGGTGTGCTGAGCAGGTTAGCATCTGCAAGGTGCAGAGGAAAGGTAGTTCAGCTGTTTGGACATGTGGTGGCAGCAATGCCCACATTAAAAATTCTCTAACTGGGGAAAAGTCATAGGTGTTTTTTTTTCATATTACATCTTAGGCCTTACAGGAGTAATTTAAGCATGTTCTAGTACCAGCTAGGTTTCTGATAAAACACGTGCCTGATGAAATTTGTCTCTTCGGGTCAACTTTAGAGACTGCATGTTAACTCATACATATATGTACGTATACTTGGTTCTTTAAATAACTTAGCAGCTGGAATTGCAGCTCCCATACACCACCAGAAATAGTTTTCTGAATAACTTTTTGGACAATTCTTTCTGGTTTGGAAGAGGAGTGATTCTTAAAAAAACAAAGCTGTACAGTACTAGAGACAAATTAATAGATCTTTTAATTACAGCATAAATTGGAAAAACATTGATGTTTTAGCTAGTGAAAATGCTAAATTATTTATATTTTAAGAGGACACAATATTAAAATTCATATGGGATTTAAAATACAATTCACTTGCTACAACTTTGCATGTAGCTGCTGTTTTGAGATACCATAAAATATAAATGTATTTTAATATTAAAACTGTGGTGCTTTATTTAAAAAAGCTTGAGTAAGTAGAGTGTGATTGCTCAAACATTAACATGTAAAAAGTGTAAGAGGTCACACTTGGAAGAAGTAACACCTGTAATGGAAAAAAGAATGTCACTAAGGCAAGAGATGGGAAGGAGCTGTTTTCCTCACTGCTTAAATTATCTTCTGTAGCGCTTTGTGTGAAGTGCCTGTAACTAATGATCTATAGCACCACTATTAGCACAGATGTCAGATCTGCCCTGCAGTAATTTAATTTTTCTTGCATTTACCACTTGTATAATTACTTTGCCTTGTTGCCCAGAACTCCAGCCTTAGTTTAGTTTAACTTTAAATTCTTTTCTTTTGATGTAGTGTTCTCATGTTTTGCTTCTGCCTTTACAGCTTAAATTTTGCAACTGTTTTGACTAAATATGAGTTCAGGTCAGTGAAATCCTGAAAGCAGGTACACATGGTCTTGTATGTGTGAGGAAAACATTTGATGCTGTAAAGATGTGTCCTGTTTTAAAACCCAATTTGATAATTAAACACCACCTACATTGTGTGTTTAAAATACTGTTTAACATCAAAGTTGTAAACTACACCTTTGTGCATGTATTCCCCCTGTCCCGGTGTTTCTTTATTTGTTTTTAATTCTGCTAGTTTTGAAATTATGCCCTTCTTCCTGGCCCTATCCTAGTAATTAAGGCTAACACTGAAACGCTTCTGGAATTGACTTGCCTAGGAAGAATGTCTTGCCTCTTCCTGTGAAGAACTTGCTTAAGTATATCCCAGAACTGATCCACAGAAGTAAGTGTTACACCATGCAACTTCTTCATGGCAATTCTGGGTTTTATTAATGTGACTGCTTACCTCTGAGAGCATTGCTGGTGTCAAGAACTGCAAAAAGACTGTGGTGAACAGTTCGAGCTCAGTGTGGTCTAGTAAACAGGGACATGCTCTGAGGCTGCACTGTTGTCAAGGGTAGAAATGCGGAAGCCCTGATTGCAGCCTCTGCCTTTGTAGGTGGTGTGATGGTAGAGCGTCCTGCCCTGTCCTGCTTGGATCAGGGCTGTGTACACCCCCGTTATACAAGAGCTTAGCAAGAGTTTAGATACACTACTCATTAACACATGTTGAAGTAGTTTTAATTTTGAACTGAATGCTAAGTCATTTCATTTGTAATGAGAATTGCTATATTGGAACAGAGGAAATTGGAAACAGCTTCCAGTTCCACAGTCAGTCTTGAAATCTTGTCACACTAAAAAATTAATTATAACTGTTAAGTACTCTGTATGCCCAAAGGCCCTGGGTCAATTTTGTGGTTCATAATCCTGTTTCTTTAATTTTGAAAATCTCCTGCATGGCTGCCACTTTTACAAAGTGAACAGGGAAAAACATGTATCTGCATTTAATTTTATTGCTGTCTGAAGTGCTGCTAGTAAAAAAAAAAAAAAATCTGAATAATAATTGGGCTTGAATTCTATTTTTGGGAAGGTGGTATTGCTCTGCGCTGTTAATAGAAGCTCTTTAGAGCTCAGAGTTGTAAGTTACCAGGAAAAACCTCTTTATGGTGTCACAGGTGATTAGTGTGAGTGGTACTAGTTTTTAGTAAAACTTCAGTAGATACACCCTTATTGATGGGTTGGAATTCTGGCTATGCAGTACAGCTAATTTAGGGAAATGATCATGTTACCCTATAGATGACATTAACATTCCCCTGCATTTAATGAGGAAAATATCATTAGATCCTGGATTTCCTGGACAGCTCTAACAGCATGATTGCACCTCAGCAAGACATGCATATGTAACATTTCCTTCTTTCAGTAATGGATTTAGTCTGATAGGGACACCTCACCAATGATGGATTTTAGTACAGTTGGACTCTAGACCTTTTGAAAAGCAGAGAGCAACATTAATTTTGAGCTCAGATTTTTACAAAAATGTATATTCATTGCTATGATTCTTTACACTTTAAGAAATGCTTATTTCATTAATGCTGATCTATAAAGAGACTGGACAAGTGGTATACTTAAAAACAGCAGCTGAAATATAAGTATGTATTTGGCAAGACTTCGTGGGGGGGAGGCCCCTTTATTGCAGAGGATTAATTGTTCAGTTTACCCAGAACACTGCTACAAATGAAAAAGACAGTGCAACTCTTTCATATTGTTGGATAGTACTAGAAAAAAATAGAGGAAAAACAGGCATTCAGACCATGTTGGGTTTTTTTGTTTAATTTCAAGAAGTTGTTGGAAGTAAAAATTAATGGAAACACTTTTTCCATAAAATGTAAATTTGATAGAAACTCATGTAATCAGCAAGCAGTGCCTGCATTAGTAGGTAATGGAAGTGGAAAGTGTTTTAAGGGGCAGACACATGCAGTTGTATCGGCTTTGTTTTAACATTTCAGATAAAGGAAAACAATTTCTGTCAGTATTTTTGCCAGTTATACTTAAATACAGTTGTGCCATAAGATACAAGGAACTTCATACAATATATGGGTTTATCCATCCTTTCTTGCATACAGTGCTTTTACCATCTGTGTAAAGTTTGTGAGGTTGGATTTTGTGCTCTTTCTCAAATTAAGCTAATCTAGTACAGAAAAGACAAGCTTTAAAACAAACTATGGAATAGTTGACTTACTCGAGTGTCTTTTGTACTTCAGATGGCCATAAGCATCTCTACAATAACTTGTATTACTTGTTTTGGAAGGGTTTAAACCTTGCACGTGATTCATCTTAGTCATTAAAAAGTAATGCTCTCCTGTATTAGATAGTGTTTTCCAATTCATGGGCTATCATGGCTCAACTTCAAAATTCATTCGTGTGTTGAATGAGTTGCTGTCCCTTGTGTAATGGCGCTGATCTGCTCATTAGCTAATGTTGTGTTCGTGACCTGTTGACGTGTTCAAAAATGTCTAGAACGTGGACTAACATGAGATTGGTGTATAATGAGACAACTTCTCTGATTAGACCAGTAGTTTTAAATATTTGGCATTTGTCTAGCTGTTGAGACGTTCAGTGCTGGAGGAGGGTTTCATTACTGTGAAATGCAAGTGTAGTGTATTCTTAAAGGTGCTGTTGAAGGAATCCTAGTTAAAGACTCAAGACGGGATAAAGGAAGTCCAGGTGTGCCTGATGCTGGTGGTAGATTCTTTAATCAGTCTTGTAACTAACCAGAATATAATCCTATTTTATTGTCCTGTTTTTTAATGATTATTAAATCATTTCTGTCTCTTGCTGAGAATGTTCAGGAGGAAGGCGCTGGTTTTGCCTGTTTGCCTTC